ATTTATCGGAAATCGATCCGGGATAGGCAAATAAATCCGTGGAGATTGAAGTTCCGTGGAAGCGAAACGGATTTTAATGTATCGCCGCGTATCAAATCGTTGCTATCAAGTGATTATTAGCGAAAATAATATAAGTATGAGAATCATCTTAAAAATCGCAAGAAAGTAAACCGATTCGATGGAAGTTTGATTATTTTTGATTATTTTTTTACTACACATTTTCGTGGTTTCAGAAGTCAAGATTTTTTTTATACCGGTGCTATGAATTTTTGTAAAAATTGATCGATATGTTTTATATCGATATGTATTACGAAAGTAAGTGCCACTGACTTGCCATACTCTATTTAATATTCCACGTTAAATATACTCACGGCGTCGAGAGGTGAAACTCACTCGGTGAAATCACGCGAATACGAGAACAAAATGTTAATTAAATTCTTCTTCTCGTGCATTTATCTCTCCGTCGCGTTGCAGCACCTTGAAATCCTGTTGAAATTTTTGACATTTTGCGAAAGAGCCATTGACTATTGTCGGCCGCGTCTAATGAAACATGAAAACGCCATTCACAGCCACGGAAGAAGGATATAGTAAACCGGCCGCGAAACACCGTTGATGGAAAATCCTGAAAATAGCGCATGCAAATGCCCTCGACCCCTCGTTTCCCCTCGAGCAATCTCCCTCTCTCCCTCACATCGTCACTCTAACGAAGCGGCTTTCTGCTCTTGTGCCGCGCAACATCGAACGGTCTTGAGAAAATGCGAAATATCGCTGCTGACCGAGAATGCACATACGAGTGCAGGCGCGAGCGGGACATTCATCATCGTGAATGAATATTTTACGTCGGTTACGCTAACGAGCCATCCCTGGCGCGGCGAATCGCCACGAGCATCTCGAAACGACGATGATATTGCAACGTGCGATCGTACCCCGCTTTTCCATTTTTTTCTCGACCGGACAAATTCATATCGATCTTTGGCTAATTACATATGAAAAGAATTTTTATATCAAGATAGATAGTTAATTATAATTCAAAAAAAAGAAAAAAAATCATATGAGAGAAATTATTGGGAGAAGACAAATTTTTTTTATTAATGTATTTAAGTTGATAGTTACTTTTTATGCTCGCTACTAAAAATATTTATGTATGACACGTGCGTTTTTAATATATTTAAAAATTTTTAGATACTATGATTTATATCACGTTTTGCTGGATGTCAGATATTTTTGGAACGCAAAATATTTTGTCAAGATGTTATTAATTTTGCTTTATTTGATTTCAATATAAAATATATCATATATATTCAATCTATGAAAAAAGTTTCTTCAATTATAATGAAAATTAATTCAAATTTATTTGAAAGAATTATTACGTGACAAATATATGTAATATTATTTACTGAATTTGAAATTTTGCAAGAGGCTGTCGCGAGTTGAGCGCCATTTCTCTCGATATATTTTCACAGAAATACAAACAAGACAGGTGCGACATTTATAAAATTTCGGTGATTGAAATGGCGCGAATGCAAATGACAATTCAGAATGATCCAAACAACCCAAACATTCGATTTAATATTCCACAATGCATGTCACGTGCTATATTTATGGTTACGTTATTCATTAGAGCGAGCATATGTAATGTGTTTTATTGTGTGTTATTAATATTATGCAGGAATATAAGAAAAATGATGCAGAGTTTTTATCTTTAGCGTGCTAGATAATTTTGAGATATTTATGATGTTATGTAAGAAGATTGAAATTAATTATCGCTATTAAAGATTAATGAATTTTTCATTAATAATACATTTTTTTACAAACTTACCGAAGTTTCGCAGTTCGACGGACAGACGCATTTCGCTTCTCCGCCATTGTCGCTTTCGCATTTGCCGTAAAATTCACACTTCTTTTTCTCGCAGCCATCTGTGAACAGATTTTAGTCAAGATTGAAAATCTATATTGTCTTGCAATAAATCTGTGTGGGTTTAATGCCACATTATTCGACTACCACATTACTTTGGTTTCGTGACATCCGCTGGAGTCACTAATCACACACTATCCCTTGACCATCCAGGCGGAAGCGGATTGGCCCCTGACCACCTCAGGATAACATTAATAAAGATTCTCGCGCGTATTTGCATAACGGCATCCGTTTCGAATGAAATTCTCACAGCAGCGGATGGAAGGGAAAACGGAGGAGTGGGAAAACGGTCGAGACAAAGGGCGGTACCGAAATGTGAGTCGACAGAAGTCGAGAGAGAATGAAAAGAGGGAACGATGAGGGGTGGTTTGCCGGTCGCGAAGTTATCTTTAGAATTCATTGAAATCCACGGCGCGGATGCGAGGGAGAATGGAGAGAAGAAGAAGAAGAAGAAGGAGAGAACGAGGAGATACGAGGAGTGATTCATCCCCCCCCCCCTCGCTGTCGACGTGTCGATGATGCTCGACGGCTTGGGGTGACTTCCCTCTGGTTTTTTGAAAACGGGCTTGAAAATGGGGCACTGCCAGCGGAGAATCGTCGCGCGAAACGTGACTAGGGATAGGGCGAGGGGAAAGGGTAGGAAGGGGAGAAAGGCAAGAGGAAGCGCATGCATATGCAGCGTGCATGCCGCGGGGTAACAACTCATATGATTTCAACTGTAGAGCGGCCAACCAACGTCGCGAAATCGCCGCGCCGCGCGCAATGCACGAAACCAAATTCTACGGCACGTTTCGCTCGATTCCTAATGCCGAGATTGGTAATGGAAATCGTCTTCTCTTTCCTTTCCCCTCCTTCTCGTGATTTATGGGGGATCGCGTATCGTTCGGAACTTTCGCTGGCTCAGATGACAAAAATCTATTGTTATTGCAAACTTATTATAGATAAATATTGTAGGACGTTATATGAAATTTTCTATGTATATTCAGTTCAAAGCTATGAATATATGGAAAACGCGCGGTAGAGACGATTATAGAAATTCGAGGAGTTTGATATAACAATATTCTCGAATCTGAAAAAAATTAATATATATATATACCATAGAAAATATAAAGTATATTTTTATATAATATGTATTTTTACATATAAATACATAATATATATAGAAAAATGAAAAGGGATCCAATTTCACTGGATATTGAGTGTATGATAGAAATTTATATAACGTTCTATAATACATACATGAAATATGAATTTTTCTAAAATTAATCATTCTTAATCAATTTTAAATGTTTTTGCTCCTTGTGCTTTCCTTTACGCTTTCGGATTCATTAACTGTCGTGTTCATTCAATATTAAAAGCAAAGCTATCTTTTTCAATGCGTTTACCAAAGATATGAGGAAAGTTCGATAAACCGTGGCACAGATATACCATCGCGTCGTAGATGTTCCTTCCTAGGGAAGATCACTTTCTCCCTTCCTCGTTCCGGCACCTCATTTCATCAGATTTTTTGTGATGGAAATTACTGTTTGTGTTTAGACTAACTCTCGCGAGTACGCGATTTTGTATTCCTCGAACCTTAGAGCCATCAGTCGCGGAGGTTGACGGGAGGATTTGATGGAATCGCTGTTTGGACGTATTCTCATCGGCGCGGGCTTTTGATAAATCTGCCGTCTGATAGCGGAACGCGCTTGTCCGCTTTGTATGTTGACAAGTGGAACTTTTTAACAAAGATGCAAATCAGAAATGTTACGATTTATTTCCGCGCCGAGTTGCAAGACACGAACACGAGTACGAGATATACGTCCGAGAAGTTTGCAGATTGATCTTTCCACCAACTGCGTTAATTTCTTTGT